CCCCTGGCAGTCTTCAAGCTGGCACTGGACAAGCACCTAAAGTCAGTTCCGGATCAGCCGGGCTGTGGCTCGTATGTTGGTTTGCGTGCAGCCAGCAGCAACAGCCTGGCTGATCGGCTCTGATCCACCAGGAGGCCTGGTCTCAGACCGGGCCGCGGGGGCGTTGACCCCCGGAACTCTCTCCAGGTAAACTCCAGGTAATACTCTCATACATTCCCCTCTTTGCCTCCAAGGACAAAGTTCTTTGTCTCCACAGACTCCTAAGTGCACCCGCTCACCCCTTTTCCCCTCATGAATTCTATGATTCACCTCATCTTTAATAGACCCATCCGCTGACACGTCCACTCCAAAATATCTGAATACATTCACCTCCTCCATACTCTCTCCCTCCAATCTGATATCCAATCTTTCATCACCTAATCTTTCTGTTATCCTCATAACCTTACTCTTTCCTGTATTCACTTTTATTTTTTTCTTTTGCATACCCTAAAACCAAATTCATCCACCAACCTCTGCAACTTTTTCCTCAGAATCTCCCAAGAGGCACAGTGTCATCAGCAAAGAGCAACTGTGACAACTCCCACTTTATGTGTGATTCTTATCTTTTAACTCCACACCTCTTTGCCATGACCCCCGCATTTACTTCTCTTACAACCCCATCTATAAATATATTAAACAACCACGGTGACAAACACAAAATCCTTGTCCAAGGCCTACTTTTAGTGGAAATAATCTCCCTCTTTCCTACATACTCTAACTTGAGCCTCACTATCCTCGGAAAAACTCTTCACTGCTTTCAGTAACCTACCTCCTACACCATACACCTGCAACATCTGCCACATTGCCCCCCCCATCCACCCTGTCATATGCCTTTTCCAAATCCATAAATGCCACAAAAACCTCTTTAGCCTTATCTAAATACTGTTCACTTATATGTTTCACTGTAAACACCTGGTCCACACACCCCCTACCTTTCCTAAAGCCTCCTTGTTCATCTGCTATCCTATTCTCCGTCTTACTCTTAATTCTTTCAATAATAACTCTACCATACACTTTACCAGGTACACTCAACAGACTTATCCCCCTATAATTTTTGCACTCTCTTTTGTTCCCTTTGCCTTTATACAAAGGAACTATGCATGCTCTCTGCCAATCCCTAGGTACCTTACCCTCTTCCATACATTTATTAAATAATTGCACCAACCACTCCAAAACTATATCCCCACCTGCTTTTAAACATTTCTACTTTATCCCATCAATCCCGGCTGCCTTACCCCCTTTCATTTTACCTACTGCCTCACGAACTTCCCCACACTCACAACTGGCTCTTCCTCACCCCTACAAGATTTTATTCCTCCTTGCCCTATACACTAAATCACAGCTTCCCTATCTTCATCAACATTTAACAATTCCTCAAAATATTCCTTCCATCTTCCCAATACCTCTAACTCTCCATTTAATAACTCTCCTCTCCTATTTTTAACTGACAAATCCATTTGTTCTCTAGGCTTCCTTAACTTGTTAATCTCACTCCCAAAAATTTTTCTCTTATTTTCAACAAAATTTGTTGATAACATTTCACCCACTCTCTCATTTGCTCTCTTTTTTACATTGCTTCACCAACTCTCTTAACCTCTCTCTTTTTCTCCATATACTCTTCCCTCCTTGCATCACTTCTACTTTGTAAAAACTTCTCATATGCTAACTTTTTCTCCCTTACAACATCATTCCACCAATCGCTCCTCTTCCCTCCCGCACCCACTTTCCTGTAACCACAAACTTCTGCTGAAACACTCTAACACTACATTTTTAAACCTACCCCATACCTCTTCGACCCCATTGCCTATGCTCTCATTAGCCCATCTATCCTCCAATAGCTGTTTATATCTTACCCTAACTGCCTCCTCTTTTAGTTTATAAAAACCCTTTACCTCTCTCTTCCCTGATGTTTCTATTCTCCTTGTATCCCATCTACCTTTTACTCTCAGTATAGCTATAACTAAGAAGTGATCTGATATATCTGTGGCCCCTCTATAAACATGTACATCCTGAAGTCTACTCAACAGTCTTTTATCTACCAATACATAATCCAACAAACTACTGTCATTTCGCCCTACATCATATCTTGTATACTTATTTATCCTCTTTTTCTTAAAATATGTATTACCTATAACTAAACCCCTTTCTATACAAAGTTCAATCAAAGGACTCCCATTTTCATTTACACCTGGCACCCCAAACTTACCTACCACACCACCCTCTCTAAAAGTTTCTCCTACTTTAGCATTCAGGTCCCCTACAAAAATTACTCTCTCACTTGGTTCAAAGGTTCCTATACATTCACTTAACATCTCCCAAAATCTCTCTCTCTCCTCTACATTCCTCTCTTCTCCAGGTGCATAAACGCTTATTATGACCCACTTGTCGCATCCAACCTTTACTTTAATCCACATAATCCTTGAATTTACACATTCATATTCTCTTTTCTCCTTCCATAACTGATCCTTCAACATTACTGCTACCCCTTCCTTAGCTCTAACTCTCTCAGATACTCCAGATTTAATCCCATTTATTTCCCCCCACCGAAACTCCCCTACCCCCTTCAGCTTTGTTTCGCTTAGGGCCAGGACATCCAACTTCTTTTCATTCATAACATCAGCAATCATCTGTTTCTTGTCATCCACGCGCATTCAAACATCCCAGTTTTATAAAGTTTTTCTTCTTCTCTTTTTTAGTAAATGTCTACAGGAGAAGGGGTTACTAGCCCATTGCTCCCGGCATTTTAGTCGCCTCATACAACATGCATGGCTTACGGAGGAAAGATTCTTTTCCACTTCCCCATGGACAATAGAAGAAATAAAGAAGAACAAGAGCTATTTAGAAAAAGGAGAAAAACGAAGATGTATGTATATATATATGCATGTGCGTGTCTGTGAAGTGTGACCAAAGTGTAAGTAGGAGTATCAAGATATTCCTGTTATCTAGCGTGTTTATGAGACATAAAAAGACACCAGCAATCCTACCATCATGCAAAACAGTTACAGGTTTCTGTTTCACAGTCATCTGGCAAGACGGTAGTATTCCCTGGGTGGTTCCTGTCTACCAACCTACTACCTTTATTATTATTATTATAATCAAAACTAATGTAGTGTAAATTACCTAGGATAACCAAAAAAAAACATAGTGACTTAATTTCCATTGGGGAGTTGCCAGTGTGAACATACAATTTTCCTTTATGGTGTTTGAATGTAGATGACTCGGTCCCCTACTTTTAATCTTATAATTTTCTGGAAATAGCCATGCTCTATCCCATGCCATGTTGTGGAAGTGGTTGCTGTACACATGTATTGTTGATGTTCATTCTACTAACATATGTACTTATGTTCTTGTAGGCACATGGCAAGTTTTCTCTCAGTTTCTCCAATGTAAACTTGATGACATCTACTACAGGGAATGCTATATAGACTCCAGTGAGAGTCCTATGTGAGGTGTGGAGGTCATTATGTCTCAGATGATTTTGATGGCAATCACAGCAGTGTAGATGTTGGATTTACATAGTATAGGGATTACTGTGTTGTTTGTGTTTCTGGCAGGTAACACACATCGTTGTTCAATGTTGTTCCAGTTCCTGCTGATGTTTGCTTTACATATGCAGTGAGGGAATTTGAGATTAAAGGGGTTTTGTGATCCTACTCATATTTAAGTACTTAAGTTGTCACTGCAGATCTAAAGTGTCTGCAGGGAAAAAAAAGCCATTTAACACTCCTATTCCTATTTACAACTTGAAAACAAGAGTGTTGCTTGGCTTCTTTCTTCAGGCACTTAGGATATGCATTGATGATTTACTTAGTCTAACAATATTATGTCTTAAACACCCCAACCTTAAATTTCATGTGATCATTCACTAAAGACATACAGTGAAAATGATACACATCAGTGCCAGTAACTGGAACAACACTGAATGAAGTTATACATTCCTGCACTACAAATAACACAACAATCCCTGTACTTTGCAAATCTAATGTTAATATTGATGTGGTCAACACCAAAATCATCTGACACATCACAAGGAATCTCTAGCATCCTCTGCAGTGGATGTGATCAAGTTTACATTAAAAAAAAATACTGTACTAGAAGTCTTCCCATGTAAACATAAGTAAGATATGATTTTGTTTGGATTTTTAACCCTGGAGGGCTAGCCACCCAGAATAACCCAAGAAAATCAGTGCATCACTGAGGACTCATATTTCCATTGGGATCCTAAAATCTTGCCCCCAGAATGTGACCCACACTAGTCAACTAACACCCAGGTACATGCTTGCTAGGTGAATGGGACAACAGGTGTAAGGAAACATACAAAATGTTTCAGCCTTTGCCAGGTATCAAATCACAGACACTGTGTGTGAGGCAAGTATTGCCTACCAGGCCATGAGACACCAGTAGAGTGGACAACATGAACAAAGCACGTGTGTCTATCACTGCAACACCAACTCCCACATCATGGTTTGGGACAGGACTGGGCTACTATTACAAGAAAACGAAGAAATTTATTGTAGAATGATTGGAGTCATCTATAATCAAGCCCTATAAAACAAAATTGTGGTAAATTCACATTAGCGACTTATACAGCACACTTCTTGAAAAAGGGAAACCCAGAGAGCCAGTAGGCCTCCTGCAGTGCTCCACTACTACTCAGCTTATTTATACCTGACTACCCACCTGGATGTCCTATATAAGCTGTAATTCCTTATGAATGAAATGTACCAATAAAGGCTCGCCTCACAAAGTGCCTACTGCATTTACCTACCAAGCAAGGGAAAGGCAAGTGTGCATATCATTTAGTGTGTTTTATAATTTTACGATAATGGCTGATATTACTTTTTTCAAATGTTCAATTTTTTCATGGGAATCTAGAGTACTTATGAACTTTTAAATAACATACATGTACTAGCTAATAGACTAAGCACTCAACACATTAACAGGGATGGCTCAAGTACTACCTGAACAACAAGGTTGGAAGTGTTGTAGAGTTCCCCGTTGCCAATCGCTCGCCTCTGTAACTTGGCCAAGTGAGAGCTCATAGACTGTGCAATACCTGCCATGTTAAAGTTAGAGTTTTCTGAGGAGCGGCGCGATGACCCTAAGGAAATTGGGTCATAAGGCGACGATACCATGTTCTGTCGGCTCATGGATGCGGCAGAAACTTGAGAAACTTCGCTGGATCTTCGACTGTTTGGATGCAATGAAGAATCACTTCGCATGCTGCCATAGTAGGTGCTAACTGTGGAGTTGGAGTCACGTCTGTTGTTCTGCAACATAGTCTGTCCTGGGCGGAAGTGGAGATCAAGGAGATTCTTGCGAGCTTGCTGAGGGGTTGTCATGCCACCGTTCATCTTGAGCTCAGTAATTCGTTGTGACAATTCCCCAACACCACTGCTTGTACTACGCCGCGCTCCAACTGGGATGTTAGGCAAAATGTTCGCTAAGCCTTTCGCTTGTAGTCGGTTTTTCAATCTGTTTCTCAAGTTTCGTTCCTGTAGATTGATATGACCACTTATAGAACCTTCCAAACCATTGAGAGCTGCAATCCCCACTGGTAAATCAACACTCGCATCCAAGTCATCCTCGACAGCGTCCCAAACTTCCTCACGCTCGAGGACATTTTCATAGCCTCCTGTGGTGGTAATGTTATTGTCACTGATTGGACCATCCAGGAGGCGACTCTGATCCATGGGTGTTGCTCCACTCACTACTGTATCCATGTTGGGACTGTGTTCCTGCCCTGGAGATGTTGCCTCCTGCAAAACCAATATAAACTTGTAAAAAATAAAATATGTTGAATGCTGTACACTTGGCCTCACATTTAGGCCCTCTTCAGCAGACTCTGAAGAGGGCCTTCTATTTTATTTGCTGTAAATGAATACAAGTTATGAACCTGCCACCTTCATTCTGGGTAATTATCTTAAGTTTCATCTCCAAAGTAATTGATTTTGCACTATCGTGAAGTCTAAATATCATAAGTTGAGAGCACCTGTACTTCATTATACTTTTGTAGGAATCCTGGTAACTTAGACATTTAAGAGGTGATGCCTTAAGGCTGGCAAATATCTCTTTGATGTAAAGAATTGGAGCTATCCTCCCCTTCCTCAGATCAAACCTGATTGCCTCCATTTGCACTTTCCTGTGAATCTAATACTACTCACTTCAGACTTGACTGAGGGGCTAGAGAGTGAACCTCCCTTGCCTCCGTCAGAGTGTGGAGAGCCTTCAGGGTGCGCCGCCCCACCGTCCTTGCCTCCTGCTCCTGCACCAGTGTTGGTGGTGGGGTGGTCGTTGCCTTTGTGTTTCTTGGAGGCATAGAAGTCGGCCCCGTGCACCGTCTTTACATGCTTCCTCAGCGACGATGGGTCCGTGTACCTCTTGGTGCACCCTGGCGCCTTGCACACGTATGGTTTCTGCAAACACATGCATTCTCTATCAATGTTGTGGATCAAACCTGATCACCTACTATCCCTAAGGCATTGTATGACTTATGGGTTAAGCACTTTTTCCTGAATATATAATAATATAATGTGCTTTCAAAATAACTAAGTCAAATGGTAAACTTAGCTAATACCTACAAAATTCTGATTTGCTGTGCACTGGCTTCTCCTTAATGCTAAACAAGGAAACATCTAGGCGAAGGGGGAGGAGGAGACAGTCACTTGCTGCAATGAAGGCACTTATCCAGAGGAAAATTTCCACTTTGAGGGATTAAGCTCCTCAGTGAAACAAGAAGGGATCACTATCAGCCAAAATCTAGCGTAGCTTCCCTTAGTAGTGTTGTGATGGCTGTCACTCCACCCAATGAAAAGTGGATCATCTTAGGGCATATCAGATGACTCCTCCAATGAGGTATCGGGTGGCCATCTGGCAGAACCTCTGTTAGCGGAAATACTACTAGAGGTTGCCTGCAGATCCCAGAGTAGTGACTGAAAGTGAGAGACCAATGGCATTCTTCCCTGTTTGTCCCTCACCATTATTTGCTGAGAGATAGTTGCACAGCCTGTACTCTTGTTTAAACAGACAGCTTTGATAAGCTATGGTCAGTCAGTTCTGGAGGTGCCATATTGATGGTGTGCACCAGGTTGAACTAGTGGTTTCCATGGAAGAACTGCACTTGTCTCAGTGTAGGTGACCACAGTCCAGGGCACAGCATTACCTACTGAAACTATGTACTGTGCCAAAACAAAAGCATTCACATTGCTAAACTCACAAACTAGTATTTAGTCACTTAGCCATAATACCAACTTACCTCATAATTTGTAATATTTTAAAATAAAGAATTAAACTAAGTCTGCCCGAAATGCCTAGCCATGCTAGGCGTTCTAGTGGTACACTCTGTAATCATTATTTAACTACATGTAAACCACACAACAACCAAATTCTGTAAATTCAACATTGTAATCTTTATAGAGAATAAACTTTGAATTAATTCTCACAAATCTTTTAAGGCTTTTTCACATAAGTTTGGAGCAAATTTCTTGATTAACATTATTTAGGTTACATTTAGTCTAGATTATCAATAAAGCTAATTATAACATACCACACTGCCAATAAATGAAAGCTAAGATAAAGGCAATCAACAGTTTTGGTGCGCAAACAGAAAATTGGGACCCCTTGAGTGCACTAGAAAGATCTATGCAGGATAATCACTGTTTAGGGATTTAAACAGTCACTTAATTGTCGTAACAACAGGGAAATACTGTCTGTTATTAAGAGGATGAACTGCACTGTAGAGAGGAACGTGGTTCTGGGAAGGTATACGGTTGTTTTCCTTTTGTTTATTCTCAGAGTTGCACCCATTGTTGTTTTTTACTTTATGATAAACGAGACACTGTCTTCTGCATTGGGAGTGACTGGGCCAGCCCACCACAACCATGTATCCTCCTCAGTATCTGCAATTGCTCTCACATGATCACTTCTTGAATGTATTACAAAAATGATATTCAATACCGACATGGAGACACATAGGTACCTTTATTTGAGACGTTTCACCAACCAGTGGCTTTATTAATTATATAGATGATGCATGAAGACAGTAGATGAGGTAGCCAGTCCTTCAGCCAGGAAGCTGTGTTCAGTACTTAATCCTGAGAAATGTCAAGCATAGTCAGGAAGATATACTCTTATGGAGTCAGATGTGGTATAGCAGCTAAAGGCGCATCACAGGTGGGTGGGATCCACTAGTGGAATTAGGTCATACCCAAGAGTTGGACCAGGGCTTAGGAAATAGGTTGGAGGAGATACCCTTTATACTCAGATGCCATGGTGTTGCTGTGTCAGACAAGTATTATTACAATAATGGTAAACAATACCAACAAGACATTGTTGGTCTGTGTATAGTTCTGGAGGGACTGACTACCTCATATTCCACTATTTTCGTGCATCATCTCCGTATGGAACCGAAAAATTCACTGGTTTGCAAAAAGTCTTCAGATGAAGATACCCAGGTGCTGCACATGTATCCGATTCCTCACTTGTTGACTGAACTTGGTACCGGCATTCTATTTGTCCTTCCCCTCCTTCTGTTGCAGATACACAGAGAAACAAGCAGAAACATCTAGACACAATCACAACACCTAGGCGCTAAGCACAAACATCTAGACAAGCACAAGCACCTAGACAGAAGGATCATGAGACAAGCATTAACGCCAAGACTAACACCTAGAGATGCATTAAAACAACATACCAGTGTTCCTTGGTTGGACAGAAAGAAAATACAAGTTAGACATAATTCTCATAGTCCAGCATCAAATTAAATATGCTCACGAGCCAGCATTAAATTAGACGTCATTATCATATGCTAGTATTACTATATACATTAACAATGGCATTAGAATTGGTGAGGAACAAAAAAAAAAATTCTCAAATTCAAAGTGTTTTTATCATGTGATACAGAATGTAACACAGCCACACTCACAGCTAGAGTGATAGCTACACACAGCCACACCCAGAGCTACTGTTACACTCACAGTTACGCACACAGCCACACCCAGAGCTACTGTTACACTCACAGTTACACACACAGCCACACCCAGAGCTACTGTTACACACACAGCCACACCCAGAGCTACTGTTACACACAGCCACACCCAGAGCTACTGTTACACTCACAGTTACACACACAGCCACACCCACAGCCACAGCTACACCCATTTCTTCACATATAACACAATAGAGGAAATTATCAACAATTTTTTGGTCCGTCCTTCACAAGTCAATTGTTGCGAGTGGTCCACGGTGGGCCGAAAAATGGACCAGGACGGACCGAAATGTCGCTTACTGGTTGTTAATGAAGTTCTAACCACACTTGAATTTCATTTACACTTTTTGTTTCATCCGTCAAAAGCACCACCCCCCTCCCCTTCCTCGGATTAAACCTCTTTACCTCCTTATGCTAAAGGACTCTTGCTCCGAGGAACTGGAGATATCCTTTGCTTAAGAGATGCCTCTTTATGTCACCTATCAGATCCTTAGCACCTATTCTCTATTACCTATCAGATACCTAGCACCTGTTCCCTACGTTGATTGTACCTCCAGCTGCCCACACCCATGTAATGCCTTTTGCACCAAAGTGGGCGGCAATCTCTCACGCCCACATATCTTAATGAAGATCTTGTTAGCCCATGTCAGCCCCCCCCCCCACGCTGAGAATTACTGCCAGCCTCTCCCATGTAGGTCATCATTCCCTCAAGCAGTGTGATCCTCTGTGCTTAGTTCTAAGGTCAGGTTTTCCCGTGTAGATTGTCTGTCTATCTAGAATGTTGGTGCTAGCAGACAGTATGTTCACTCAGAGCGAGTGGACCATTTACAAAGTCACACTGTCTTTGTAAATGGTCCAAGTCGGACCGAAACGTCGTCGTAAACTCCTCTCTCTCGTATGTGAGGTAATCAGTCCCTCAACCTTGAAGCCTGAGGGACTGATTACCTCATATTTTATATACATGTACAGTTCTACTGTCTACCAATTATGTCCTTGAACTTCTATTGATAAAGCCACTGGTTGGCTAAACATCTACAATAAAGATGCCCGGATGTTGCACGTGTGTCTAATTTTCACCGCTCTCTTCCTCAGGAAACAGGATAAATCGCTCCTGGCGCAGGTCTTAAGTACTATGATGACCCACCACTGCAGCTGGACGTAAATGGTACAAAATACTGACACGACAGAAAAATAAACACATACTGCATTTGTGTTTATAAGAATGGAGGAAGAGCGTGTTTGGTCATATGACCCAAGTTTTCCGTTGTATTCTCCTGGCCACCCCTTGAGTATCGTTATTATTACAATCAAAACTAAGGCGCTAAACCCACGAACGTTATATAGCCACTGTGTAGCGAAACGTTTCCTCACTAAAGATACCCAAGTGTTGCACATATGTCTAATTTATCAACTTGTCGGTTCTCTGAACCATTCATCTACATAAGAAAGAAGCACTGCAGCAGGCCTACCGGCCCATGCTAGGCAGGTCTAACTCACACCCATTCATGTATTTGTCTGGTTTAGAAAGACACGTAAGCAAACACTATAACATATTTATTAGAAAACGTTTCGGTCCTGGGACCTTGATCACTTCTAACATACAGAGGTAGAAAGACATTATATATATATATAGGCGGAGAGTGAGATGTGACGCACGTGACCTGAGGAATGTCATAAGAACATAAGGATGGAGGAACACTGTTGAAGGCCTACTGGCCCATGCGAGGCAGGTCCTTATCAAAACAACCTCTACCTATGATGAGGACGGGTAGACGATGAAATCATGTGACTCCTGTGTTGTAATAAAGTTGGTAGAATTACCGACAATATGTAAAGTAAAAGGACACAAGTGCAACTAATGTGACATTTATTGTAGCAACGTTTCGCTCTCCAGGAGCTTTATCAAGCCATTACAAACAATACATGGACATTGAGACACTTATGCAGCATATGGGAATCTTTATTCAGGAAACGTTTCGCCACACAGTGGCTTCATCAGTCCAATACAAAGAGGAAGGCGTAAGGAGAGGAGGAGAATGAGGTAATCAGTCCCTCAACCTGGAGTCGATGTGTTAAGTCCATCAATCTTGTAGAATGTACAGCATAGGGTCGTAGATGTGGCTTATATACTGTAGTGAGGTGACGTGAAGCAGATGGAGGCGGGGACATAGTGGTACCATCCACTAGTCGAAGTAGGTCTTCGTCCAAAGGTTGAACAAGTGTTGAAGAATTCTTTGTAACAAGATCCCATGATGCTGCAGTGTCTGACAGTTGTGATGAATGGTTTGAAAAACCGACAAGTTGAAGATTGAGACACTTATGCAGCATATGGGAATCTTTATTCAGGAAACGTTTCGCCACACAGTGGCTTCATCAGTCCAATACAAAGAGGAAGGCGTAAGGAGAGGAGGAGAATGAGGTAATCAGTCC